ATTATCTGGAGGTTATTGATCATCTGTTACCAGGCAGACGATGGGACACAAGTCACGCTTGTTACTGATCGCTGTTATTGATACGTCTACATTATCTGGAGGTTATTGATCATCATCTGTTACCAGCAGACGATGGGACACAAGTCACACTCTGTTACTGATCGCTGTTATTGATACGTCTACATTTCTGGAGGTTATGATCATCATCTGTTACCAGGCAGACGATGGGACACAAGTCACGCTCTGTTACTGATCGCTGTTATTGATACGTCTACATTATCTGGAGGTTATTGATCATCTGTTACCAGGCAGACGATGGGACACAAGTCACACTCTGTTACTGATCGCTGTTATTGATACGTCTACATTATCTGGAGGTTATTGATCATCTGTTACCAGGCAGACGATGGGACACAAGTCACACTCTGTTACTGATCGCTGTTATTGTACGTCTACATATCTGGAGGTTATTGTCATCTGTTACCAGGCAGACGATGGGACACAAGTCACACTCTGGTACTGATCGCTGTTATTGATACGTCTACATTATCTGGAGGTTATTGATCATCTGTTACCAGGCAGACGATGGGACACAAGTCACACTCTGTTACTGATCGCTGTTATTGATACATCTACATTATCTGGAGGTTATTGATCATCATCTGTTACCAGGCAGACGATGGGACACAAGTCACACTCTGTTACTCGCTGTTATTGATACGTCTACATTATCTGGAGGTTATTGATCATCATCTTTACCAGGCAGACGATGGGACACAAGTCACGCTCTGTTACTGATCGCTGTTATTGATACGTCTACATTATCTGGAGGTTATTGATCATCTGTTACCAGGCAGACGATGGGACACACACACTCTGTTACTGATCGCTGTTATTGATACGTCTACATTATCTGGAAGTTATTGATCATCTGTTAGGCAGACGATGGGACACAAGTCACGCTCTGTTACTGATCGCTGTTATTGATACGTCTACATTATCTGGAGGTTATTGATCATCATCTGTTACCAGGCAGACGATGGGACACAAGTCACGCTCTGTTACTGATCGCTGTTATTGATACGTCTACATTATCTGGAGGTTATTGATCATCTGTTACCAGGCAGACGATGGGACACAAGTCACGCTCTGTTACTGATCGCTGTTATTGATACGTCTACATATCTGGAGGTTATTGATCATCTGTTACCAGGCAGACGATGGGACACAAGTCACGCTCTGGTTACTGATCGCTGTTATTGATACGTCTACATTATCTGGAGGTTATTGATCATGTTACCAGGCAGACGATGGGACACAAGTCACGCTCTGTTACTGATCGCTGTTATGATACGTCTACATTATCTGGAGGTTATTGATCATCATCTGTTACCAGGCAGACGATGGGACACAAGTCACGCTCTCGTTACTGATCGCTGTTATTGATACGTCTACATTATCTGGAGGTTATTGATCATCTGTTACCAGGCGACGATGGGACACAAGTCACACTCTGTTACTGATCGCTGTTATTGATACATCTACATTATCTGGAGGTTATTGATCATCATCTGTTACCAGGCAGACGATGGGACACAAGTCATGCTCTGTTACTGATCGCTGTTATTGATACGTCTACATATCTGGAGGTTATTGATCATCATCTGTTACCAGGCAGACGATGGGACACAAGTCACACTCTGTTACTGATCGCTGTTATTGATACGTACATTATCTGGAGGTTATTGATCATCTGTTACCAGGCAGACGATGGGACAAGTCACGCTCTGTTACTGATCGCTGTTATGATACGTATACATTATCTGGAGGTTATTGATCATCTGTTACCAGGCAGACGATGGGACACAAGTCACACTCTGTACTGATCGCTGTTATTGATACGTCTACATTATCTGGAAGTTATTGATCATCTGTTACCAGGCAGACGATGGGACACAAGTCACGCTCTGTTACTGATCGCTGTTATTGATACGTCTACATTATCTGGAGGTTATTGATCATCTGTTACCAGGCAGACGATGGGACACAAGTCACGCTCTGTTACTGATCGCTGTATTGATACGTCTACATTATCTGGAGGTTATTGATCATGTTACCAGGCAGACGATGGGACACAAGTCACACTCTGTTACTGATCGCTGTTATTGTATTGTACGTCTACATTATCTGGACGTTGATCATCATCTGTTACCAGGCAGCGATGGGACACAAGTCACGCTCTGTTACTGATCGCTGTTATTGATACGTCTACATTATCTGGAGGTTATTGATCATCTGTTACCAGGCAGACGATGGGACACAAGTCACGCTGTTACTGATCGCTGTTATTGATACGTCTACATTATCTGGAGGTTATTGATCATCTGTTACCAGGCAGACGATGGGACACAAGTCACACTTGTTACTGATCGCTGTTATTGATACGTCTACATTATCTGGAGGTTATTGATCATCTGTTACCAGGCAGACGATGGGACACAAGTCACACTCTGTTACTGATCGCTGTTATTGATACGTCTACATTATCTGGAGGTTATTGATCATCTGTTACCAGGCAGACGATGGGACACAAGTCACACTCTGTTACTGATCGCTGTTATTGATACGTCTACATTATCTGGAGGTTATTGATCATCTGTTACCAGGCAGACGATGGGACACAAGTCACGCTCTGTTACTGATCGCTGTTATTGATACGTCTACATTATCTGGAGGTTATTGATCATCATCTGTTACCAGGCAGACGATGGGACACAAGTCACACTCTGTTACTGATCGCTGTTATTGATACGTCTACATTATCTGGAGGTTATTGATCATCATCTGTTACCAGGCAGACGATGGGACACAAGTCACACTCTGTTACTGATCGCTGTTATTGATACGTCTACATTATCTGGAGGTTATTGATCATCTGTTACCAGGCAGACGATGGGACACAAGTCACGCTCTGTTACTGATCGCTGTTATTGATACGTCTACATTATCTGGAGGTTATTGATCATCTGTTACCAGGCAGACGATGGGACACAAGTCACACTCTGTTACTGATCGCTGTTATTGATACGTCTACATTATCTGGAGGTTATTGATCATCTGTTACCAGGCAGACGATGGGACACAAGTCACGCTCTGTTACTGATCGCTGTTATTGATACGTCTACATTATCTGGAGGTTATTGATCTATTGTTACCAGGCAGACGATGGGACACAAGTCACGCTCTGTTACTGATCGCTGTTATTGATACGTCTACATTATCTCTTTTTTAATCGTCGTCTCTTTCACAAATCAAAAACACTATGCCACATAGGGTGTTCGCATAAATGGCCTCTCTGTCTCAAAGTCTTGGGCTGGATTTCAGTCCCAGTGCACCCCGCACACAGCTATTGATCCACCAGATACACATTCTGTCAAACACACATCATTTAAAAAAACTTTAAAATGTCACTAATCAACAATGATTTTTTAAATCTTATTGCACTGTTTTCACTGCTACTTAGTTCAACTTGTGCCACTTTAGAGGGTTGTATCGTTTTAATCATTTTCTTGGCGTCCAACCTCCTCTGCACAATATGTTACTTTATACCAAGATGTATTAATATTTTATTTATATTTGTGAACAGACTAAACCAACCCTTGTCCTCAACCCTTAATTTCTTAAGCATTTGTCAGGCACTTTCTGAAAGCCACTCTGCCTGGCTTCAACGCTCCACCTGTGGTCAACAAACCCCTAGTTGCTCCAGAGACCTCTGACATATTAGCAAGTGTAAGTTGCTGGATAGTTGGATAAAAGCGTCAACTAAATGTAAATGTAAGCGCTGTAATGAAAGCGCTGGTATTGCAGGGTTTGAGAAAATGGGAGCCAGTGCTCCCATAAGGAATGACTCCATGCCGCTTACTAATTCAGTAATTCATTAACCAACAACCATTTTTTAAATCACAACCATTCAGGGTTCAGAATCTTGCCCGTGCGATGCAGCCTGGAGGAGCCACGAATTCAGCTGCCGATCATCGGATTACCGGGCAACTCACTCTACCTCCTGAGCCACAGCCGCCACATGACAGCATGGGGGGGGGGTTGTGTGTGAAAGAGAGTGTTGGACACCATAATGAGCAATAAAGTCTCTTTCTCTAAGCTTTTTATTTATTTATGTTTTTATCTTCGCCAGTAACTTCAGTAAAATGAGAGGCCTCCACAAAGCTCAGATTATATCTTGAATCCTGCCAGAAAGTTTTATTCTAGTGGAAAGAAAATTAATGAAGTACAAGTTCAGCAAACATTCAGTTGATACATTTCATTTCAAAGATGATAACTGAATTATACTTGAATTGAAATTAATTGGTTCCTCATTGTGTGGTTAACAAAACATTTATCTTTACATTTATTTAGTTAATAAAGATTTAACAAGTTCCACAAAAAATAATAACTGAGTCTGTTCAACGTCAAAGTTTAAATTTGAAAGTATCACATTTTACAAGCCTGAACTTAAACCAAATCTGAAAGGATTAAAAGTCTCTGTAATCGCTCAAAACACAGAGAGGGAACATTTAACACTTTAACAACAGGAGGAAATTTACCTACAAACCTTTCAGTGCCATCTGGATGATTGAGAGAACACAGACTTGAAACATGAGAATAAATTCAAGTTTCATGACGTCTAGAAAATATACAAACTTTATATCACCAGTTTAACAGAAAATTTGATTTGCAGCAAAACACAGAGGCTGTTAAACAGACTTAATAGTTAAAACTTCATCCTGATGACATCATCAACCCCAGCCAATCAGCTGCACTCGTTCCTTTGATGAGGAAGAAGGTTCCAGCAGCCACACCGAGCAAACCCACAGTCAGACCCAGTCCACAAAACACTGCAGGTCCAACACTGGGGGGGGTCGTCTCCACATCTGGAGACAGAAACACAGAGACATTAAACCATCTGGAGAGAAACACAGAGACATTAAACCATCTGGAGACAGAAACACAGAGACATTAAACCATCTGGAGACAGAAACACAGAGAGCATTAAACCATCTGGAGACAGAAACACAGAGACATTAAACCATCTGGAGACAGAAACACAGAGACATTAAACCATCTGGAGACAGAAACACAGAGACATTAAACCATCTGGAGACAGAAACACAGAGACATTAAACCATCTGGAGACAGAAACACAGAGAGACATTAAACCTTCTGGAGACAGAACACAGAGAGACATTAAACCATCTGGAGACAGAAACACAGAGACATTAAACCATCTGAGACAGAAACACAGAGACATTAAACCATCTGGAGACAGAAACACAGAGAGACATTAAACCATCTGGAGACAGAAACACAGAGAGACATTAAACCATCTGGAGACAGAAACACAGAGACATTAAACCATCTGGAGACAGAGAACACAGAGACATTAAACCATCTGGAGACAGAAACACAGAGATTAAACCATCTGGAGACAGAAACACAGAGAGACATTAAACCATCTGGAGACAGAAACACAGAGACATTAAACCATCTGGAGACAGAAACACAGAGACATTAAACCATCTGGAGACAGAAACAGAGAGACATTAAACCATCTGGAGACAGAAACACGAGAGACATTAAACCATCTGGAGACAGAAACACAGAGAGACATTAAACCATCTGGAGACAGAAACACAGAGACATTAAACCATCTGGAGACAGAAACACAGAGACATTAAACCATCTGGAGACAGAAACACAGAGACATTAAACCATCTGGAGACAGAAACACAGAGACATTAAACCATCTGGAGACAGAAACACAGAGACATTAAACCATCTGGAGACAGAAACACAGAGACATTAAACCATCTGGAGACAGAAACACAGAGACATTAAACCATCTGGAGACAGAAACACAGAGAGACATTAAACCATCTGGAGACAGAAACACACGAGACATTAAACCATCTGGAGACAGAAACACAGAGACATTAAACCATCTGGAGACAGAAACACAGAGACATTAAACCATCTGGAGACAGAAACACAGAGAGACATTAAACCATCTGGAGACAGAAACACAGAGACATTAAACCATCTGGAGACAGAAACACAGAGAGACATTAAACCATCTGGAGACAGAAACACAGAGACATTAAACCATCTGGAGACAGAAACACAGAGACATTAAACCATCTGGAGAGAGAAACACAGAGACATTAAACCATCTGGAGACAGAAACACAGAGACATTAAACCATCTGGAGACAGAAACACAGAGACATTAAACCATCTGGAGACAGAAACACAGAGACATTAAACCATCTGGAGACAGAAACACAGAGACATTAAACCATCTGGAGACAGAAACACAGAGACATTAAACCATCTGGAGACAGAAACACAGAGACATTAAACCATCTGGAGACAGAAACACAGAGACATTAAACCACCTGGAGACAGAAACACAGAGACATTAAACCATCTGGAGACAGAAACACAGAGACATTAAACCATCTGGAGACAGAAACACAGAGACATTAAACCATCTGGAGACAGAAACACAGAGACATTAAACCATCTGGAGACAGAAACACAGAGACATTAAACCATCTGGAGACAGAAACACAGAGACATTAAACCATCTGGAGACAGAAAACAGAGACATTAAACCATCTGGAGACAGAAACACAGAGAGACATTAAACCATCTGGAGACAGAAACACACAGAGACATTAAACCATCTGGAGACAGAAACACACAGAGACATTAAACCAGGAGACAGAAACACAGAGAGACATTAAACCATCTGGAGACAGAAACACAGAGACATTAAACCATCTGGAGACAGAAACACAGAGACATAACCATCTGGAGACAGAAACACAGAGACATTAAACCATCTGGAGACAGAAACACAGAGACATTAAACCATCTGGAGACAGAAACACAGAGACATTAAACCATCTGGAGACAGAAACACAGAGACATTAAACCATCTGGAGACAGAAACACACAGAGACATTAAACCATCTGGAGACAGAAACACAGAGACATTAAACCATCTGGAAACAGAAACACAGAGACATTAAACCATCTGGAGACAGAAACACAGAGAGACATTAAACCATCTGGAGACAGAAACACAGAGAGACATTAAACCATCTGGAGACAGAAACACAGAGAGACATTAAACCATCTGGAGACAGAAACACAGAGACATTAAACCATCTGGAGACAGAAACACAGAGACATTAAACCATCTGGAGACAGAAACACAGAGACATTAAACCATCTGGAGACAGAAACACAGAGACATTAAACCATCTGGAGACAGAAACACAGAGACATTAAACCATCTGGAGACAGAAACACAGAGACATTAAACCATCTGGAGACAGAAAGACAGAGACATTAAACCATCTGGAGACAGAAACACAGAGACATTAAACCATCTGGAGACAGAAACACAGAGAGACATTAAACCATCTGGAGACAGAAACACAGAGACATTAAACCATCTGGAGACAGAAACACAGAGAGACATTAAACCATCTGGAGACAGAAACACAGAGACATTAAACCATCTGGAGACAGAAACACAGAGACATTAAACCATCTGGAGACAGAAACACAGAGAGACATTAAACCATCTGGAGACAGAAACACAGAGACATTAAACCATCTGGAGACAGAAACAAAGAGACATTAAACCATCTGGAGACAGAAACACAGAGACATTAAACCATCTGGAGACAGAAACACAGAGAGACATTAAACCATCTGGAGACAGAAACACAGAGACATTAAACCATCTGGAGACAGAAACACAGAGAGACATTAAACCATCTGGAGACAGAAACACAGAGACATTAAACCATCTGGAGACAGAAACACAGAGACATTAAACCATCTGGAGACAGAAACACAGAGAGACATTAAACCATTGGAGACAGAAACACAGAGACATTAAACCACCTGGAGACAGAAACACAGAGACATTAAACCATCTGGAGACAGAAACACACAGAGACATTAAACCATCTGGAGACAGAAACACAGAGACATTAAACCATCTGGAGACAGAAACACAGAGACATTAAACCATCTGGAGACAGAAACACAGAGACATTAAACCATCTGGAGACAGAAACACAGAGACATTAAACCATCTGGAGACAGAAACACAGAGACATTAAACCATCTGGAGACAGAAACACAGAGAGACATTAAACCATCTGGAGACAGAAACACACAGAGACATTAAACCATCTGGAGACAGAAACACACAGAGACATTAAACCATCTGGAGACAGAAACACACAGAGACATTAAACCATCTGGAGACAGAAACACAGAGAGACATTAAACCATCTGGAGACAGAAACACAGAGACATTAAACCATCTGGAGACAGAAACACAGAGACATTAAACCATCTGGAGACAGAAACACAGAGACATTAAACCATCTGGTAATGAGGTGTCTGTCTGTGTGAGTTTAAATAAAGTGTCTCACCCCAGATCCGGGTCAGAGGACTGTCCAGGGCCAGATGTTGGACTGTGCAGCTGTAAATGTCTCCCTGCTGTGGGATGAACTCCAGTCTGGAGGTCTGTTTGAAGGAACCGTCTGTGTTGGGGAAGGGAACGTTGATGCTGGTTCCTTCAGTCACCTTCTCTCCGTTCTTGGTCCAGTAGATCTTTACAGGAGCAGGATAGAAACCAGTCACATGACAGATCAGCTGGTTCTCTCCGAGCTCCAGCTTGTCTCTGATGTAGACCATCGGGCTGGAAGGAGGATCTGGACAGAAACACAGTAAAACATTGATACAGACGCTAGAAAGTCAGTTTCCAACATGTTGTTATTTTTCAGTAAAAACCTAAAAAGGATTTTGACCTAGTTAAACAGCAGCATTTGTGTCAGGCACTGGAACATCGCCGCCACGCCAGAAACACACCAGTAAACTCACAAGCTTTACAACTTGGCATCATCAATGTGTGAAGGCTTTTTTTGAGTTTTGATATGGATGCTGCCAACCTTCCATAACACAGTAACCATAGTATTAAAATAGAGTCAACAACTGTTTGGTATGTGCCTTGATCGAATAGCCTGCAGTAACGACGGGCCCCAGTGCAGGCCAGTATGATGGCATGATATCTACAGGTATGAAGCACACACAGCGTTCGTGTCTAGAGGGGAAAGATTGGCAAATCTGTGCCTTCTTTCCTCATTGTGCATTAAATGCCAAAGCTTCGTAAAGGGATACTTTAGGATTCTTATCCAATACACTTTTTGTTAAATTCGGCGCATATTTCCTCATGGATCAGTAGCTCTCTGTTTTTCGTGTGCTCTGAAAAAAAATCCAGTTTTCCTCCACAGCCCCCCTGCTGTAAAGATGACAGAGAAACAGCCACAGAGGGAAAGTCTGAGGAACTGTGAGACAAGTTGTAAGACCAGGCGAGAGGAAGACCTGTGTTCACATCTGTGAGGGGTTTCAGTGCTGGATAAATCTACGAGATTAGAAAGGAATGAAAACTGATGCTGAGTCGCTCTGTTTGGCTGGACAGGTGAGTAACGTTAGCTTTGCTGTTCCACATAAACGCCAGCTTCACTGTTACTGAGATCACTTTAAGGGCACCCGGGTGTTGAGTCTGGAGTTCAGCAGTGGCGGTGTGGGTGATGTTACGCGCCGACGTCAGGTTGGCAGAGGGCGAAACGTAAACAGCTACAGCGATGGCCTGTGAAATTTCCCGTGGCAGATAATAGAGTCCCACAGCACGCAGTTCAGGGCCCGGGCTACAGATACGCTGTTTAACTGTAATGTGACTGGATCTGTTGTCACACGGTTGTAAGGCGACGTACCTAGTTCAGATATATTTAGTAAGCGTATATTTATACAGGAATTGTAATGTCGACGCCGGAAGACGTTGATTCCATGCACTCTCCGCCAAGTCGCCGCCGGTCTCCCGTCTGCAGTTCCG